ACCCCACCCCACCCCACCCCACCTGCGGCACCCCCGCGCTCCTTACTTGGGACTCCCTCTGTTTCCCGTACACGCCCTTGAAAGTAGCCCAAAGTAGCCCAGAAAAACTGCAACCCGTAAATGCCAAAAATTTCCCGCAACTGATCTCCAGAACTAGCCCAACTGGGCGTGAAACCCGCCCAAGCGGCAACCCTGGGAGAGCCTGGTTTGCTTTCCATTTGCGCGAGTAGCGACCGAACGGGAAGAAAGAGGCGCCTGATGAATGAAAGCTCCGCCTTCCGCGCCTTTAAGAGAGCGGCGGGCCGCGTCCCCCATCCACTTGAAGCTGCGTGTAGCCCCCAGGGCGGCTGGCGAGAGCCGGGCGCGCGCGATGGAAGGGGCTGTCTCGCGCTGCGCTCCCTCGCCGCACCTCCCGCCCTTCGCGTGCGCAACATGACTTTCCGCGGGCTTTGGGAAGTCCGGCTCAACTCCACTCAGTCCGCAATGGCCCTCCGCAGCGCCGTTGCGGGCCCGGAGAAAGGCAACGGCACCGAGACCCTCGCGAAGGAATGCGGCTCCGTCTCGGTGGCTTTCCCCTTGGCCATGATGATCACAGGCATGGTGGGCAACGGACTGGCCATGCTGTTAGCCTACCGAGCCTACCAGAAGAAGGAGAACCAGCGGAAGAGGCCGTTCTTGCTGTGCATTGGTTCCCTGGCCCTGACAGACCTCGCTGGGCAGCTCCTGACCAGCCCCGTGGTCATCACAGTGTACTTGGCCAATCGGAAATGGCAGGCAGTGGACCCTTCGCATGGCCTGTGTGCCTTCTTTGGCTTGGCCATGACTGTCTTTGGTCTTTGCCCCCTCTTCATCGCAAGTGCCATGGCTGTGGAAAGGGCACTGGCCATCCGGGCCCCCCACTGGTACACCAGCCACATGAAGACCAGGCTGACCAAGACTGTGCTACTTGGTGTGTGGCTGACTAGCTTTGCTTTCGCTCTCTTGCCCATCGTGGGCATCGGGAAGTATACGCTTCAGTGGCCAGGCACCTGGTGCTTCATCAGTACGAAGGATCACGACAATCCCTGGGTGGGCAGCGCATTTGCTTTCTTGGGTCTGCTTTCCCTCGCTGTCACTGTGGCATGCAACATGGCAACCATAATTGCGCTGGTGTGTCGCTGCTGGTCCAAGAGCTCAACATCCCGGTCCAGGAGGCAGTGGGGCAGGATTACCATGGAAACCTTTATCCAGTTGCTGGGAATCATGTGTGTCCTCCTTGCTTGTTGGTCCCCCCTTTTGGTAGGTTTTTTCCTGCGCATCCAGTGGCTGGAGAGCGGCCTGTCTGCAAAAAGCCAAGCTATAAATTGTTGTAGTAATCTAACTTGCAGAGCACCCAGTTAGAGAAAACTGGTAATTGTACATAACTTTTTACAAATGTTCCAATTTTTTATTACAATGCTTGAGTACGTCTTTATGTTTAAAAATGTGAGAGAAAGAGATGGCATCTTAACAAAATTTTATTTGAAGTTCATTATTAGATATTGTGCTACGCGGCTTCTGGCAGTGCACTTTTTCTGTTTAGATAACCCGTGTCCTTTCTTAAGCTTTATTAAAATTCTTGATCTGTCTAAACATCTCTTGAGATGAGCCATACACACATTTCTGATTGCATTTAGCTAAAGATGGTTATAACTGAAAGTGGTTGGAGAGATACTTAATTTCATTTTAACAGTCATAGCATTCCCCCTTTTGTTGTTTTTTCCTCGTCTTATCGAGGTTTGTGCTCAGTCTTGTAGATCTCTGGAAAAATATGAAATGCTTTACCCGAGATGAAAATGAGGCGGTTGTATATTCTATAATTTCAACGGCTTCTTTCAAAAGGAAAAATAGGACAGTTCTTGGAAATAGGTCAGACTATTTGTTCATCTCCTAACTGTGATGTTCCAGAGTCTCAAGGAAGGCCTCTGTAATAAGTTGAAACCATGCTTTGAGCCTGAGGTTTATCCTTTGCAAAACGTGTGCTTTGCTACCAAATTGCATTGACTTCAGCTGTCCAGGAAGATAGCAATTGCCCTATGATGCTGCCTTACCTATATTTAGTTAGAGAGGATGAAGGAGATAGAGCACCAGTCAAATTTGGAAATACATTTCTGCTTTTAAGCCGCACAAAGATTTTCTGACTATGTATTCTTTAAGATGAGTATGTATCCAGAGAATGAAAAGGACCAACTGATCAGCTGTTTATATATGGTTGATGGTATTGAAAGTCACTGATTTAGGAGACCCAGGATGTCTCCTAAAGGATGTCTGTCCCACCTGTCCCAAGCCCTCCAAAGGTCATTCACAAGCACAACCAATGATATCTCAGTACCGTATCCTGACCTGAACCCAGACTGAAAAGGGTCCAGATAATCTGCTTCATCCAGGGCCCTCTGAAGCTGAGGGCCATCACCTTCTTCCCCAAAAAGGGAATGTTGGAGACTGGACAAAAGTTGTCTAACAAGGCTGGGTCCAAGGATGGGCTCTTGAAAAACCAGCACACACCACCACCTGCTTTAAGGCAGGTGATACGATCTCCTCCTGCAGCGGGGCTGCACAGACCCAGCCACATGCTTTAATAGGTTTTAACAGGTTGTTACTTTGATCCAGAGATTCTCAAACTCTCAAACTGTGTTATGCTATAAACCCTCAAAAGTTTAATTTATGTGACTCATTCAAATAAAACTAATTATTTCATTGCAAGAAAGTTTTGCAAGAAATAAATATACCACTTGCTTTTAATACTTGCCCAGTCTTTTGGAATGGGCTGGCTATATCTAATATAGTAAGATTCTATATAATAAGAATAGGAATAATTTAATATATATGTCAAATAAAACAATGATAGCAGTTTGCAACTTTTAAAATATTTTCATGGTAAATAATAAAACAATCAAATGTAAAACTGTTTTTAATTGGAAGAGTTAAAAGTATAGATGAAATCTGAACAATGGGCAGAAATGCTGAACTTCATTTCCAAAGGCGCTCCAAAGATTCCAGATGTACGAAAGGCCACAGCAGAAGTAGGCAACTGTCAAGCAATCTTCCCAAATATTAGCACTAGATATTAGTCAAAACTCATTCCAGGCTCTGTTCTCCTCTTTGCTGAGACAAGCTGGGGGTTGCCTTCTCCAGGCAGAGTAGAGGCAAGTTCTGAGAGTGATTTGGCTTACTCACAAGCCCCCACCCCCCAAATTTGCAACTCCTCTCCAATTTGCTTTTGACCTCCTAAGGGGTCACAAACCATGACCAAAACGAAGAACCGTGTTTAATGCAATTTATTGAGGTGTTTCACCTGTTTTATTTTTCTACTACTGATGACAATTGTGTATCTTAATCTGCAGTTTTTGCTTTTAACCTCTGGGGGGCTATTTACAGGAAAGGATATTCATTTAATAAATAAGAAACACATGAAACAGCTTATCTTCAACTGTTAATTTCCTAGCAGGGTTTACTTTCAGTCTTGAAGGCTCACCCGCAGGGAGCAGAGAAAAGGTTTTTAATGAAGCGAGTGAATGGTTCTGCAACCCATTGAGGCATATTTTCAATTGTCCCCAATCCTGTCTCTCTTTCATAGAAATCAGTGGATAATTTAATCATAGAGCTAGTTAGTTTGACTATGCTCAACTTTTAAATCTGAATCTCTCCCTGTTTATATTGTTCAGCAAATGTAATCTATGTTAAACTAAACATTTGCTTTTTCTCCAAGCCTACCCACACTTTCCAAAGAAGGACTGAATTTACACCCATCACTCCAAAATAGTTGCTGCTACCAGTGACAGCAAAAAATAATCATCACTTGGGACATTTGTATGAACAAGTACAAGAAAGTGTCATTAGTGGCATTTTCTTTCCATTTATGACTACTATAGTATCTTGTATTCATTTTGATATATGTACTAGCTTTCTAATCTTGACCAGCCTCCAAGTTGTTCAGGGAAGCAGCTGGTTTTTTTCCCAGTACAATGATGGAAAACAGATTAGACTGTAAATAGAGATATCTGCATAATGTGGTACTTTCATTAAAATGATAAAAGCAGAGTCATGCCATAAGCTCCATCCCTTTGCATGTGACATCATGACACACATACAGAAGGGACAGCGTTTGTACTGTGTTGACACAACACTGCTTTCTTCATTTGACACACGCGTATTCCTGCAGATGCTGCTGATTGTAAAATAGTGACTTGTCCATGGCACCCAGACTTTTACAAATTAAAATGAACTTGAGTTGTAGACTTCAGAGTAGACAGGCTATTTGAATTGGCTCCGTCCAAATACTTTTTGAAGTGTGCCATTCAGAGGCAAAGTTCAGCTCTTGGCCCAGAAAAAGTTTTGCATACCTAATGATTTGCTGGAACATTCAGACACTAATACCTACTAATCTATTATATATATATATATATGACTGATACTTCCTCATTAGTCTAAATACTTTCATGATAGTTGTAGGTCTGAGTTCTTATGTAACAGTAGCAGTAGCAATAGCAGTACTAATACTAAGTAATTAGCAGCTGCAATACCAGTACTAGAACTATGTAATCATCGTTTCATTCTGACATTTCCCTTGTGCCTTGTGAACTGACACAACATGCCTAAGAACTGTTGTGCTTGTCCTAATAGCTATGATAAACAGTGCCAACAGATTTGAAGAATTAAGGCGACTGAATTGTAAGTTATGCTGTTTTCTTTATCTTCATGTGTATGACAGATATATGTTAAACATTTCCAACATGTTTAATTATTTGACCATGGGTTACCAATAGAAGAGAATATATGTAGCTCAGGGTTGCATTGTGGAGTCCTTGGGGTTCTCTGAGCTTGGCTATTTTCTTGGGGGTCTGAGTCCTTGGGGTTCTCTGAGCTTGGTAGTTTTCCCAGGGCAAGCTACTGTATATAAACAGAGACCAAACCCCACTCCCTTCTAGCACTGAAGATGTTACCTAGACAGGTAACAAAACATTTGTAAGAAACAACCAAGCTCAGAGAACCCCAAGAACTCCACAGTGAGTAGATCTATAGTACATGACTCATTTTTTCTGTATGCCGTTTTTTTTCAGTTTATTCATTTATACCCCACTTTTCCAATCAGTTGAACAAAAGAATTTTTAGATTTATATCTCACCTTTCCTTCAGGAACTCAAAACATTATACATAGCACTCTGTCTTTTTCTTTTCCTCCACAACAATGATCTGTCAGGTGGGATAGGCTGAGAGTAACTAGCCCCAAATCACTCATTTACTTTCCATGGCTGAAGATGGGTCTTCCTTGTTCTAGTCCAACAACTTTAAGCATTACATCACATAGATTATAGCTTGGAATCTAGCCAAGTTAAACCATTCCAGTTTAAAATAAAAAAGCAGTCTTGTTACCAAGGGCCTCCCAAGGGTAGTAAGAAGAGCGCCAAAGATAAACTGTACTTCAGTGCCAACTCCGCCACTTTTGCACATGCCTTGTGATGTTGCAAGGGACTCAACCTGTTATGAAATCTAGGCTTGCTGCAGACGTCTCCACTCTTGGCCCCTTAAGGCTGAATATATTTATTTTGGTATAAATTTAGTGAACTACATTCTTCATCCATTGTAGCCTCATCATGAAAATGTATGCGCTGATATGTGCTTAGAATTTAATTTACCCAAAGAGTCTTTACAGTTCTAGTTTTATTACCTGTTGAGAACTGGATAGCATGTTTACAGATACTGGGCTATCCAGAATATGACAATATCTAATGACCTGGAAATAGATTTTTTATTTATTTAAATGAACAAAGTGACTTGAGCTGATCCTAATTTAGTCTGTTACTTTTTATTGGTTCATGCACTGAGCTAAAGCTCTTGAAGTGACTTTCTTATGTACACATATAACACTGTGACTTCAATCAGACAAGCAAATAAGCAGTTGTTTCATTGTTCCAGCACTAATTCAGATTATGGGAATTTCTGCCCTTGAGGCACCTAGATTTCCTTCGCACAGTCAGAAAAATGCTTTCTCTCTTTTCTTTCTTGCCAATATTTGTCTCAAACAGATTTCAGCTGCTGACTGGGTAAGGTTGTGACTAGCACCAAATTACACAAGGCTTTGCAGAACAGCAAAGGAACAAAGTATGACAATATCCAATGACCTGGAAATAGATTTTTTATTTATTTAAATGAACAAAGTGACTTGAGCCGATCCTAATTTAGTTGTTCCTTTCTGTATTTCAAAACACAGGTGAAACCACAGAATCACCTAATCACTAGTGGACGTGATACAAGAAAAC